ATCGCATACCACCACTTCCTCCCCCACCAATCCTGCCCCGATCACGTGCGATTATGAATCAGAGAATAATCCAACTACTGGAGTATGTACTTCATTCAATCCATAAGAATCTAGAGCTCAGGGTGCCTCAGCTACCTCACAACACAGATCTCAGATACAATGCCGATCAACCAAACATTACCCACTACTTTCATTCCAAGTTAACAGTGTCTTTCAAATCTGTCGTCCTTAACACTCGTTCCCTTTTACCTAAATCAGATCTGCTTACAAACTTATGTTTATAAGATCCCCCGATATTGCTTTATCAATGAAATTTGGTGCATGTCAGAAATTAGTGATTCTCAGCTTAATATTGTAGGGTATAAACCTTTCCTCCAGGACCGCTCACACAAACGTCGTGGTGACTGTGCCATATATCTTCGAAATAATCTGACTGGAATTCCCGCATATCAACCTGTGTTCAATGGCTTAGAAGATACACTATGGCTAGTGATCCCATCTACTGATCTTCTGGTGGGTTGTATTTATCGACCGCCCCGAACTACTCAATGTGAAACCCAAAAGCTAATCGATATGATCAATGCTGCTTCCAGCACCACATACAAATTCAAAGTATGTGTGGTGATTTCAACCTACCACATGTTAACTGGATGCTGCCTGCACTCAGAAACACTGCGGAGATTGAGGAAATCATCTCATCTATTCACCTCAATGGCTGGACCCAGCATGTTAGAGAGCCAACCAGAAGAGCCACTGCCTTAGACCTGAAATTTAAGATGAGAATCTCTTACGCTTATACATTCATTGATAATTCACTACCTGGCTGTGATCACAAGAGGGCGCTTTGTGATATGACTATAGATTCAACTAAAAGACCAAGCAAAACGTTAAAACCCATTCGCAACCTCCACAGTCTGGACTGGAACTAAGTTAACGAACTTATCAGTACCATAAATTGGAATACGTCATTCCTAACTCACAAACCTGCTATGGCTACAAAAGAGTTTATAAACAATATTGCCCCTGTTGTGGATCTACAGGCGCCTACTGTATGGAGAAATGCCCATGAACATAGTGGTGAACTCAAGCTGCTGTACGAAGCCAAAATCCAACGAAAGAAACTCAAATCGCTATATTACAGGAACAATAGCTTTGGCAACATTGCTACAAATAAACGAAAATTTACTACCTTTACTACCTCTAATCCAAATGGCCAACATCAAAGAAGAAACTCTGGTACGCAAAAATCCTGAGCAAGTACGTACATTGATGCAACTACTCAAAAGAAGGAACTCTAAACCACTTCTGGAAATTGAAATGCTGTCTCTAGACGATGGTTCAATAACGCGCGACATCTCCTGTGTTTGCGACGCTATCAACTCTAGTTCTGCCTCCAGTTTTGTCCCAAACACTCAACATTTCATCCTTCGGTTCCTTAAAGAACGACTGATCTATACTGCAATATCTCTGTGAGATTAAGAGAGCAGCAAATACCATCGCATCCATATAACCATCAACACTTTCAGGCCCAGATGGCATCTCCCCAAATGTTATAAAACACAGAGGAAAAAACCACGCTCTACTGTTATTACTCAACATCACATTTTCAGTCACTACCGACTGCTTTCCAACTAAATGGAAGCAATCCATTATAATGCCTAAGCACAAGGGTGGCCCGAGAAATCACCTGTCACTCTACCGCCCAATAAATCATAACTCTACTGATTCCAAAGCCCTAGAGAGGAGAGCCAAAAGGAATATCGTTCAATTTCTCTCAAGACTGCATCTGATCAACCCCTCACAGCATGGCTTTCTCTCAAAACGCTCCTGTGTTGCCTGCCAACTACAACTCCTAAATCACGTTGCTATTATGACTGACAGAAGAATGGCAATTATTATAGTTCTGTTGGACATGCAAAAGGCGTTCAAAAGCGTGCCGCACAAGCCACTGCTCTCTGCTCCACAGTCATTTGGAATTGGAAATCCTCTGTATGAGAAAGGTCCTGGATACGTATGAAAGTCACCATATCCTCTATTCGTTTCAATAATATGAGCTTACCTACATATAATTGCATTCTTGAGTATATATTTGAGAACCATCTTACTCCTATTAATCCGTCTAACCAATTCTGTCTTCTTCTTTGACGCACTGGTTCGTAGATTCACTACGCCTTTCAAGCAGATATCTCTGTACCATCATCGTCACTCGCCATGATTTTCCATCAAATTATGACTGGCCTATCGGCAAGCATTTGTATCATCATTATGCTTTATAATTCCTCATATTTCATCTTCTTTGTTTCACCGTCGGTCATGACTGGGCTGATCTCTTGTGGCGACGGATTACAGCTTCCAAATTAAAAAAGTATACCCATGCAAATCATATTACTACTGACTCGATGGCTTAAAACAAAATAGGGCCATAATTGATTGATCCGCATGACAGAAAGGGCTGAGGCTTCATCACCTATAATGTATGCATAAAGCAGCCCCCCAAAAAAAGACATTTGACACCTAGTTCTGATGGCCTATTTACTATTTACTATCTTGCCACACAGGCACAGAGCCAATTGGAGCATGGAAGTGCGGGTGAAACCCATCGTGGAAATACCCTGCATGGAAGCAAGTCCCCTGGTGACAGTTCCATGGATGACCGTATTACTTTACTTGAACTTTCCGCAAAATCTACATTTATTATTGTTCCCAGTTTCTTTATCGCTCTATTTTTTCCAAACTGCTAATCATTTCAAAAACCCATATGGGAACCATTGATCAAAAGACGAATAATTCAATATATTATGCGATAACGTTGTACATGTTGATAAGACCACCCAATCGGTCTGTGCCTCGCACTGCTGAGGAATAAACGTTTATTTATTTATTATTTATTTATAAAGACTCATACCTAAACGGTCGAACTCAGGTAGTTAAAATCGGTCAGCACTATTCTGCACCAAAACAAATAACCAGCGGCGTCTTCCAGGGAAGTGTGCTCGGACAACTACTTTTCCTAAACTACGTAAAAACTTATGCGACCCGATCAAACTTGGACACTCATTTCTGTTTGCAGATGACGTCAAACTGGTTTGCTCATTTCATCCAGACCAACTACAAACATGCTTGGGAAACATTTGTTAAGACCTATCTGCACTAAATATAGCTAGTGAGCGTTTAATAATGAAGTGAAATCTCAAGTACTTGGGTACAGATGTCGCATCCCAGAAGGCTCTCTCACACGTGTCGAAAACATGATCCCAACATCTGATTCAGTTCGGGACTTAGGAATTAGGCAATCCAACTATTACAATTTCTAAGAACATGTGCATTATCAGGTTGCGAAAGCGAGGCAGTTATGCGGATATATCACCAGAACTTTCTCCTTACCTGAAGCACGAATTGAGTCATTCAACACAATAGTACAACTGACTCTGGAATATTGTATTATCGTTCACAGCCAATTGAGAAAGAAAAACAGAACAGCTCTGGAAAATGTCCAACGATCATTTACCAAGCTGCTGCGCAAACCTGACTTATTATGATCAATGTCGAAAACTCTGACTGGATCCTCTTTGGCTGACACACTTAAAGAACAACCTCGTTCTCTTCTACAACATTATTAACCAACGAATTTACGCAGACCTCACTGCGCTTTAACTACAGAAGACTGAGGTCTTCACCACACGTAATACCGGCTACTTCATACGCACAAACTTTCAAGTCATAAAACTCGGTCGAATTTCTTTTTATGACATACACTGATCTGTGAAACAAACTACCCCTACAGATACGCATGAGTACAAGCTATGTCACATTTCGAAATTCCCTACAGACTTTCCTCACTATACCAAATGTGCTGAAGAACTTTGACTGACAGCAAACGCAAGAAACATTGATAGAAGCTGGGTTAAAAAACAAATAAGCATATATTTGTTTACAACTAGCTTACCCACTACATGTCATTACCTACAATAGCAAATCCTGTGTCTGTGCAGCCTAGTAGCACCTCTTTTTTATTATCTACTCTTGAGGACACAAACATCTGTACATTTTACTTATAGGGTGCACGAGTCTTGTACCAGAGGAAAATGATCCGAAATTCTTTTAATAAACATTTTTTATTATTATGAGTTACGCTGCTTAAACCATGACATTTATTCACTATACAAATGGTCGCTCCCACTTTTGGGGCCGTGTACCGTCTGTCGGTAAATATACAAATGTATTTATGTATTTATTTATATATCTGATAAATGTACTAAAATGCAGCAAAATCGTTTGAAATATGGGACATTTTTTGGTTTATGCGAGTGGTGCAAATTGCAGTACTGGGTCCAGATATCCGACTATTTCATTATACCAAAGCTATAGGTCCATTCTTTATCCGATACGAAGGTTTTAGCAAATCTCATGCCCTGTTAAAGGCATTACATACCATCGGTGTTTGCTACAGTTCAGATGTGTCAACTTGAGAACTGTATTTTGGAAAGTTTCAACACAAGACCCAAAAGAGAGAGTAGGCAAATTAAACATCCTAAAACAAGGAGACGTAAGATGTCAGAAAAATGTGGCTCTGTTGAGAATGGTGCTGACGGAGAATACATTGGATTATTCGATGCCGGCTTTTTACCACATCCTGAAATCGTCTCCAACTAAGAAGCGGACTAATTTTTATTTTATGAAACAGACCTTTGTATGTACGCTTGCTATGTGGAAACACTGGTTTAAAACGATTATGCCTAACCAGCCTGATAGCAGTTGTCCTAAGGATTTAACCACTTCCGGTTTAACGTCGCAGCTTAAACTAATCGTTGATTCAGTGATTGGTGAGTGAACTTATGTAAACGCCTTTAAATGTGAAGACTGAATCTTTTGTCAGAAGCGCAGCTGCCCACTATCCTTCTTGAATCCAAGGAACAAGAATGAAAGCACGCTTATCCCTTTTCCAATTGATTTACTTTTTGGTTTTCTATGCATATCAAAGGGAAAAACAGCAGACTCACCGCCAGCATTGCAAATATCGATCCCAGCACCACTTGGCCTTCCGGATCTAGCATATTTGCGTCCTCCCATTTACTGTATACATGAAAACGAAGACAGAATCGTGAAAGGGTTAGCAAATAAAAGTTTTGGTTTTGATTTGTTCACACCGGTAAAAAAAGTTCTAAATATGCATTAAAACTTGTAGAGAAAGTAAGATTGTATCATTTCATATCAGAACTTGTGAATTCTACACATAAGGGGTCGCTAGCAAGACCATAACTTAAGTTGGTTTGTTAAAAATATGGGCATCGTAAGTGTGAATTACACCGACAAATTAATGTCCATTTCTGTTAGAAATCAACCGAATTCATGTGCTTTCTTACAGCCTTTGGGTTGAATGGAAGATATTGTTAGACTGTAGCCTAAACATTCAGCATGAATAACCTTTGCTCGTGGCTTAAGTTCACACGAGACGAGTGCGTTAATCAACATTTGGATAGTTTAATATGTTATCATCAGTTTTCAAAACCGGTTAACCCGCTGTTAATTGTCGCTGTCTTATGTTTTACTTCAGGAAGTAGCTGCTACATTTGGGAGTCGAGACACTGTCCATAATCTATGTTTTATTCTAATTCCCATTTTTGCATGAATGTCAACTGAAATAACCGAGACGAATTAAGTTAAAACTTAGATGTTAAGAATACTTTTGTCTGCGCAATACGATTCATGCTTAATTGACGTGTCTTGCAACTGAACGTGACAAGCAAAATAGTGCAAGTAAATCTGCGGGCGTTATTAAATTTACAATGACTGAAAAGTTCACAAACTATCCCTCTAGTTACTAAGGTAAAACCCTCGTCTGCTAAGCGTACTTCGTCGAACTAAATGATGAGGGTTCAGTATGCTAAAAGCGGTTGGTAGAAATGCGTCAGTTCATGTTCTAAAGTCCATGGGGGAAGGAACATTTATCTACTGTTGAGAAGCAAAAATACAGGCTGCGATGGCTAGTTCGAAGTCCAATGCTACTCGATTAGGAAAAGCAAATGTCTTAGATCTGCGAACCGAATGCAGAAAAAAGGATGGCAATAGAGCTACTGGGTCATAGGTTGTTTTACTGGGTGACTCACAGACTTGGCTGCAACAGAAGTTTCATTCCTATGAACGCGGTAGCGAGCACTGTTGGCAATCCTGACAATTAGAATCGGATGATAACAGTAAAAAGGAATGCCCATGTTCAATCCGTATGCAATATCTAGATGATTGGCGTACTCAAATGTTCAAATTTGTTAAGATGTGAAGCCGAACAATGTGACAGTAGGCAGGTAACTTTCGCCGCACCCTATATTTAAGCATAGAAAAAGATGCCCGCTCATCTACTTTGTTATCTTGGTATGGTATATAGCCAATGATAACTGTTAAAATTTGCAACAACTGTTAATGATGGGATTAAGGGGATACATGATATACATTATCATACTGCTGATGAAACTGTTTTAAGATCACGCAAATAATATGCCAGATAACCAGAAATAAGTGTTAACCTTCTCTCCAGCAACCAAGTAAATGGAAAATAAGTGGCTGCGTTGGCTAAAAATAAAAGACTAGTTTAGCAGGAAAAAATACAAGTAATGACGACTTTTGTTGCACATGATAATCAGTACTAATAGAATCCTGCTCAGCAAGCTAATAAATAACATTTTTGTGACCTGTAAACAAAGCGACACACATTTGTCAGCAACAAGCCATGTTCAGAATAGGTTAAAGTAAGTTTTCGCTCTGGATTTATGATGGAGATGAGCTAGTAAGCAGATGCCTGGTCACAGTTACTATCAGAAGAGTCCAATATTACTGAATTATGAAGTGTTTCGTAGAATAAACTCTAGGACTCAAGGAATGCCTAAATTGCCACCAATTTTGTTGGTGTGTGGTTTATGAGACAAGATGGAGCAAGTACACCTACCCATGTTTACCTGGATGAGGGGGTACAACTGGCTCATCAAAGTGACCACTCCGTGGCAGACGCTTTTTATTCGGCAAGATGTTAGAATCGGTGGTTTGTGCCATTCCGAAATTGGGTCCATGGTTTCTGATTGACACATGCTTATCGCTGGAAAATATAATCGCCATTGAGGGAGGCGAAACTTCGTAGACTCTTTTTCGCTTAAAATGCGCGTCTAGTAATAGGCAATCGGTGTTTCGTCTTTCCCTTAAGTACAAGTTCCGTTTTCCCTGCCTGAGTAGAGTAAACAAGTACCAAGTCGGTCGAGAAATGAAGTGTTGTGCGCGGTGGCACCGAGAATTTTTCCGCACTGGCCATTTAGATATTCTTTGTTAATTGGAACACTCTTAGTATCGAGAAAACAACTTTGTGTTTCTTACCAGCATCCTTAAATTAGTTTAAGAGCAAAAATAATAGATTTAGGATTGAGACAGCCAAAAGTTTGTTGTGATAGTTACCCTAAAAGGCTACTTGTGCTAGACCAGTTTGCTCTGTCTATTACATTTTGCCTAAGTGTATTTCCCAGTTATTGTCTGGTACATGCAATTCCTTTCCCTATTCTGTACTGGTGCGTCGTCTATAAGTGTCCGCTGCGTATTTTGTTGTGCAGTTTATGATTTGTCCCTATATCGATTAATCGATGCAAAATTCTGTCACCTTGTTTACTTAGATTGTAGTAATGACAAAGCCAACATCCTGTGATATTTGTTGTAAAATTGTCGAACATAGTGGAAGTGCTGTTACTTGTTTGATGCGTCATGTGAACTTTCATATTTCTTGCAATGTTTTATCTATTCACCAATTTGAACTCATCCGTGCGGCTCAGCACGATTTTGTTCAAATACTTTGCAATAACTTCCACAGCAAAATGCCGACAGAAAAAGTAGACATGCTGCGTGAGCTTGCAATGATACTAAACACTGCACAGCGAGGAGTTCGGCGGCTTCATCCCAACACATGGATAGACAGCCACCTCTATGTACGAGCTCGTCCCCATACGCGCCGACCGCAAGCTCTTCAGAACTGTATTTATCCGTTAGTGGAGACTCAGCTAGGGTATCTATTTTGTTTCCTACAGGCACTAATATCCAGTCGTGCGATAGCGCGTGAGATGAACTCCAGGGAAAACCGTAAATATACAGGACAGTGACAACGACATCAGAATCTACGCAACAGCCTAAAAGCGCAGAAGCGTCGGTAGTTGGAAGAGGGAATTGCAGCCACAGCCATGAGTATCATTCCATAGGGAAAAACGGTGCCTTGGGCTGCAGGTAACGTAGCAGTGTTAGGGGTATTGACACATAGCCCCTAACCTCAAGCACGAGGCGTTCATCCGCAATAGTGGCGCACTTCACTTCCATATTTACAAATGGCCGTGCGTCTGTACCAAATTCAGCATTTACTGCCACAACTGAACTCGACAGTTTGTGTGCAGTGTCGAAGACGTACGTAGTCTACTCGCCAGTCATGAAGGCTGCGAACTCTGTCGATCCTGACAGGTTCTATCTACTGATTCGTAAGTCCCCACAGTATAACACTTCGCTTTTCATTACTGCTCTGCTTAACAGGTCGTTGTCCGAAAGATGCATTTCCGTCTGACTGAAAATGCTCGGTAAACAAACCGATTTCAAAAGTAGGTCACCATAGCGATTGTGGTAAATTATTAACCAATTTGTCTGGTCTCCATTTTAGCTAAATTGCGCGAGAATGTTGTAAATGAAGTTCTTCTGTAACTGCTGAAATTGTGAGACCTCGGGGCGTCCTCAAAAGCAGTTTTTCGATCGGTTGCATGCACCTCAACAACGTGCTGGTAACGTGGTATGAATGGTTGCAAGCGCTAAAGCGAACGAACTTCGTCGACGTGATCAGCATTGCTTTCATTAAGGCTTTCGGCACGGTGAATAATGAGAACCTCCTACACAAGTTGAGAAAGTGCGATCTTTGTGGCGTATAGTGCCATGATTCAGCGATTTCCTTATTTGGCGGGAATGGAGGGTAAAGGTGAAGGCTCATCTAACTGACTTGCGTCCTTCACTGGTGGCGCACCCCAACCTACAGTACTAGGGACCATATTGTTCTTGATCCGCACCAACGCATTACCTCAAGCATTCTGGTCACCGTGTGCCTTGTTGGCAGACGACTTAAAGAGAAGAAGCATAGTTAATACTGCGACGTCTGCGGCGAACTTATATCTGACGTCCCCTGCATCCTCAGGTAGTCTACAGATGTGGAACTAGCGGTCAACCCAACAAAGTAGCTATTTATGATCTTGGGGAAGGATGGTGATGGTCGTATCTAACTCTAGTCAGCTAACCGCCATATACCACACCTTCCGTTAAACTATCTGAGCGTGCTCTCACGCTTCGAATTAACTTCCGTGGACACCACAGAAAATTTATACTGAAACGGAAGGAATATAATCTACCCACTCAAACACAGCATCTAGACTAGTTATTAAAAGCTGGCGACTCACCTTTGCTCTCTCCTTAAATGCCAGCAAGTGTAAAACTGTATATGTACACCACAACCTCGCCAACAGGCGTAAGCATGGAGATCACATATAGAAGGCAACCTCACAGGATCGCACAGTCCTTGAAAAGCGTGCAAAACCGTGAACTAAAATGGCAGTCTCCTACGGATGGCATTCGGGCGGTTCGACGCTTTCAGTTTCTCCCAAATTTTTAACGCATATGTGAAGCCGGATGTATAGTATACGATTTAGGCCTAGAAAACTTGGCTAAAGCTCGATCTGGCTACACTATGCACAACACAGCGAAGGGCAAGCAAAAACGTGAAAAGATTATTCTATCTGCCAAGCCATCTTCGACCGAAAGTCGTAGGAGTGTTCGGCAGGAGTTATCGCCTCCCACGGGGTGACAACATTTTGGCGTACCAGATCTGGAAAAACCGTGGTCACGCTGGCCGCCACCTCTTGAAACTTGGCAACAACACAAAACTAAGGGTTCGCCAGCTAAAACTGTCCAGCAAACACAGTCGGCTGGAAAGCCGACGAAATTATTTTTCCCTTCGATTTTGTCAACCGTGGAATGCTCTCTCGACTTTTCTCATTGCCGCTTCCAAGTTGCCCATCAAGATACGACTTCAGGATGAATTACACCACCTGCATTACTTGGTTCGTGTTCCGCTCAATCAGTGATGAAAAGAAAGACAAATCTTGTGCTGACCAGTCTCCACGAAAATGGCGTAAAAAGAAACGCTTGTATGTTAATGTGGATATTACAGTACTTTCACAGATGAGCGTGTTAATGTGTTCTCACATTGTTGAACTTATACATTACACACATACCAATTGACGGGATTTGTCAAGTGTTGGTTTCTTTACCCGTAGTAATACTGCTCCATTGTTGCATCATGAGATCTGTTCGAGTACAGCTCACTCTCCTAGTATATGATCATCCGTGGCTACGTGCAGAGTATGGGAAGTGTTCAACAAGTAGGTACTCGGGCTGTTCCCTAGTTTACCAGGTATGTCACACGATGACCGATTCAAGAGACTGCGGCTGGACACGCTGCAGTATTGTCCGTTTGAGTGAACCTAATAATGACTCACCGAATATTACAGCTGAGCGAATTCCTCATGCTAAAGCTGATGCTGCAAGCGCGCCCATCAGGCAGTGCTCGTGGGCAACAAATACATTGTAATACCGGACCTGAAACTGAGAGCTCGCCCTCTATGCTTCGAGGGTCTGATGGTGAAATATTGGAACAGTCTGTCCGAGATAAAAGTGGAGGAGAACTGCGTATCGGAATTCATTAAATTTGCAAAGGCCCACTTTTTGGGTTGCATACCACGGGAGCAATTTGCACCTGAATAGGACATCGCACTGCCGATCTATGTTGACATGGCTCGGTAACAGAAGAGGTTTTTTCGTTGTACTTTGATGGGGCAAAAAGGATGCATATTTACTACCATTCTTTTCGCATAGGTCTGTAATCAGTATTATTTAATTTGTTGTACACACGCACGGAAATATGCGGTGATTTGAGCTCGGGGTAAGGCGGATTGAGCATGAAGTAGTTGGTATTTCCATTAACCATTGGGCACATGACGGTTAGCTGAACCTAAGATTTTCGCTCGCTTTATTTTATAAAAACAGTTGCTATTACTCATATTTACCAAATACGAAATTATAAGAATATATCTTGAGTAAGCTAGTCAGGCCCGGATCGACAACTATGAAGTACATGTGAGGACTATGAGTGCGGAACCAATGCTGGTCTTCAGCCGGAGACCACTAACCTTAAACTCTTTTTATTTGTGGTATGCAAAGTACTTACACCATGTCACTCAGGAAGATCTTGACCGGCTCCTCTTTCCGAGAGGATTCCTTCTGTGTACTAGACTTCTATGGCTACACGTGTCTGGAAGCTGGATTCATTTTGTATAATCGCACTTTTACAGCTTCGCACAAGTTACAAACAAAAACATTACAAAACAAACAATACAAACATTACAAACAAAAAGATTGTGGATTACCAAGTGCATAATTATCTGACGCTGGTAGTATTAGACTTCATGCATTACTTCGAGCTCACATATTTTAGAAACTTCCGATGACATAAAGACCTATGAGAAGCTGCAAATATAATAAGGATGAGTGGTCAACCGTTGTGACTTACCCCATCCAATTGCACAAAATGTGACAAATTTGCAATTCTGCACCGTCAGTGTCCAGTACAAAATGCTCAAAAGATAAATGCCTTCGACCAACATCCAGCTGTACACGGCACACAATATAAAAGTACGAAGTGTCACCATAACGTTGTCCAAGATATCTATCTGCTGTGAAATAAGAACGCACGACAAAGACAAGTAGGATAATTAAAAATTTTGCGCAAAGAAGTTTTGCAAGATTAAATAATGTACTCAAATAGAATGTAATCCATAATGACTGGGTATTGCAATGATAAATTGGACGCTATTATTGTTGTGTCAGATCGCCAAGCTAAATTAACCACAATTGTTTTCGTTTGACTTAACTAGACTGAAGACTTATTTTAAATAAAAGCGCTTACTAATTCACAGAGCGAGAATGATTACATTAGGAAAAATATCTTTGGCAAGAACGCAGTTTTATAGTTCGCGTATGGTCCATGTCTAAATTAGATGTTACTTACAAAGGAATTGGAATATATCGCCTACAAATGGTGCATAACCAAACACAAATGGGTGAACTATCAATTACTTATTTACTGACAATAACCTTAGGAAAAACAGGACGTTTATCTTGTCTGATCAACTGAGACATTGAAAGTTGTGGATTAGGCATAAGCGATGACATGTAAAAAGTCGATTCATTACTAAGGAATGCAAAACAATAAACACTGTTGCAATCGCATTTAAGAACACACGATTCCTTTTCAGTGTACTTAGTGATGAGCAGCATTCATTCGGGTATAGAGAAAAAGTGGAAAGAGGCGATTTAACACATTTGAAATTTCTGCAAGAACTGGTGCTGTTTCAACAAACACTACTAGCTCCCTCATTGTGTATTTCATATAAAAAACAAAATTCAATGAACTAAGTCCGTGTTCAAAAATTTAACAAAACATTTTGTTCGTAAACTGCGTAGGTACATACTACGATACTCCAACGATATGTGACGATATTTGTGATGTGCACAACTGAGTGCCGGTTAACCAGTTACCTAACAAATAATTCATGGTATCCATAATTAATAGCTTTGAATTCTATGAAATCAAAAGCAAGAATGTCATCCAAAGACATAGGTTTGATAAATCCAAACCAAGATTGCACTCTCACCAATATAATCACTAAAATGATCAACATCCAGATGTTAGTAATTTTTAATGACAAGCGATCACAAATACTACGGAATACAAAGGTAGATTTACATACACATTCAGCGTTTCCTGATAACTTTGGCGACCAAATTAAAATGAAATCGCAAAGTATGCACACAAAAATAAAAGAAGACAAGGATAAGTAAAGAGCATTTCTGACGATAAAAGGGAGCATAAGAGGCTAACAGCTGGTGAAGTGGAGAAAAGATCCGTGAAAGCACGACAGTCAGAAACCCAAAGGTCTTAATCGACAAAGCCGTCGATCCTAAAAGACAACAGAGCACGTGTTGGTCGATCGGCAGAATGCTAAATGATAAATGTTGGGAAACTAATTACGGTCAACTTAGAAGAAACTCATCGCAACAAATCCCTCTGCATAGCTCCGGTAGCGTTATCTTTAATGTGATCGCTTCGGCTGTCCGTGAGGTCTGTTTCCTAAGGGTTTGGGACACACATTTGGCAAGACATAGTAATTTCAAATGCGTCATCTTTCCTAATTTGGGTTAAGCTTTCTACCAGATGTTCTACAATGGAACTGTTGTTGGGACTGATGATGCGTTTCCTAAAGGCTGTGAGCAGTTCTCTGCTATCCATTTGGACAGACGCCTGGTTGTGTGTCTGACGTAGTTCACCCCGTAGGTGCAAGTAAACTGATCTAGGATGTAGGTTTGGGACTGATCCGGAAGTCTGCCTTCGAGGCGCTGGGCAATAAAGTGAGCGGTTTCTGCAAAAACGCATGGACAGGCGGCCAAGTAAGTTTGAGCCGCTGCAGTGTAAACAATTCTGATCAACAGGCTGCAAGGAATATCGAATTGGTAGGGAACAGATACAAACACGTCCTGCTTAGGAACGGTTGTAATCAATACAGGCTATCGCGGATCACTGCATACCATTTGATGAACGGGACTGGATAAGTATTTTCTTGCAGCTTCTCGTGCATACGTTATTTTTATACTTTCAGCGTCTTTTGGTAGAAACCTTTCATATCACAAGCAGATACCGCTCACTTTATTGCCCAACGCCTCAAAGCAGACTTCCGGATCAGTCCCAAACCTGCATTCTAGATCAGTTTAATTGCACATACGAGGTGAACCACGTTAGACAAACAACCAGGCGTCTGTCCAAATGGATAGCAGAGAACTGCCTACAGGCTTTAGGAAACGCATTGTTAGTTGCAACAACAGTCCCATTGTAGAACATCTGGTAGAAAGCTGAACCCAAATTAGGAAAAATGATGCCTTCAAATTACTATATCTTGCCAAATGTGCGCCCCGAAACCTTAGGAAACAGACCTTACGGACAGCCGAAGCGATCGCATTTAAGATAACACAACCGGAGCTATGCAGATGGCTTTGTTGCAATGGGTTTCTTCTAAGTTGAAAGTAATTAGTTTCCCGACAACCATCGTTTGGCATTTTTTCAATCGACCAACACGTGCTCTGTTGTCTTTTAGGATCGACGACTTTATCGATTAAGACCTTTGGGTTTCTGACTGTTGTGATTGCACTGATCCCTTATCTCCTTCACTAATGGTTTGTGCTCTAACGTTGCCTATTTTAGTTTTAATCTAAATGTACGTGGTTTTTCACAACCTATTTTACTCACGTTTCATGCATTGTTATGTGCAAGTGTTCGCTGCTAGTCTGCCAGACGAGTTAGTGCGTTCACTTTTGCTCTTTACAGTTTCCTCTGTTTAGTTTTGCTATACTGCTGCTGTCAATATCTTCCAATGTGAATAACAATTCGAATTATCTTACTTCGTCGTTTATTTATTTTCTTACTCACAGACTGGATTGTTAGTCTTCTATATTTGTGCTCCAAGTTGGTTCTGTTAAATCACTGGAGCAGTTTGGCATTTTCGTTATATTAAACGCTGAAACATATCTATAGTCTTTCGTTCGAAATTTAAGTTGGCTGTCTGAAGTTTTTCTGTATCTAAGACAGTGGTCTGCGTGCGTAGCACACAAAATGATCCGATAACCTTTATTTCCTTCCCTTGTTGAAGAACGGCTTCACAGTTTCGGCCCTATCGCGCAGGTCGTACGCATTCTAAGAATTGCGGAAAATGAAATGTGTTGCGTAAGGATATCGTCCGTCAACTTTATATGGCAAGCATGTAGAAACTACTGTATACATTCTTGAAGTACTCTAGTACTGAGGCTCATGTTAAAAATGGGCAGGTCTCTTTTGAGCGGCTACTGACAGTCCTGAGCATTCTCACCGGCTGTACTACTGCCACCACGACGGATGTAATCCACGTTATTCCTCGGACCAGTATTGAACACATAAAATGTGTATGGATGTGGTTGCGAACGCACCGTAAGGAGCTGGAAAATAAAAAGAAAATTTTATCAAACAATGTACGAAAAAAGTGTAATTTTTATGGGTTTACCAATGATACAATTATAGTGGGCATCTTTTACAGCCTAGTGAAATCAACCCCAGGATGGAGTAGAGAAGAATGCAACCGAAATTCTTGACTGGGAGAAAAGGACCATCCTCTCAGAATATTACATTGTGTTGCCAGATCAATATTTACAAATTAAAACAACAAGGGTGAATCACAATTTTCATATGAAAAATCACGTTTAACGGAGAAAAGTACAACGTAATTAACTATGCGCTGTGAAACATCGAACCGCTATATGCATGCGAAGGCGTACCATCTATATGAATGAACTTGAGAATATGATTGATTGGGCAGCTTGCGTTACCCGCAGACAGCAGTATATCAATTATCCATATGAGAGCTTGTATAAATAAATTGTTTTGCGACCACTAATTTAATCGCCGAATGGAGATGTATTCGGTTTTCTACATGGCTTCCTACCTACCCTCCGGTCGATGGTTTAAATTAAACGTGTGACCAGTGGCTTGATGTGTTCACAATTAGGCCTACTTATCATTGCACTACAAACGCTCAAAGAGCTGTAGGTATGTGATTTATATTTTACTAACGTAAGTCAACTTCTTTTAGTCATTATTTTTTGTTAGCATTATTTTACTTGATAGTGTACTCAATTGAAATCCTTTCATACGTGGAGTAAATCCGTCAGTTTGCTGGAAGAAGCTACTTAGAAGTAAGACAAAACTCGGGCGTAGATGCATTATTTGTCCAGCCTAGAGTTGAAGGTGGCTGGTAGTTAAGTGAACCAAAATGCGGCTTCACTGATTATAAGACAGACTGCATATATTTTAAGTTATATTTATAATTTCCATCAAGCCCATGAAATGGATGTAAGTGCAAAACTGTGTTGCAACGAAACCACTTTCAGTAATGCAAAACACTAAAAGCTATTAAAAGAAAGCAGACTATGTGCTACTATCTCACTACCAACAGCGGTACAAAATGTGATTAACGTGGATGCGACGAATACTCGTTGGGGACCAAGAAGGCTCTATGATAATTGCCGGAATGGTAACCCCAACGTCTGATTCAGTTCGGGAGTTAGGAATTAGGTACTACAACTATTTCATTTTCTCCGAACATGTACATTATCAGGTTGCGAAAGCCAGGCAGTTATGCGGATAAGTCACCAGAACTTTCTTCCTACCTGCAGCACGACTTGAGTCATTCAAGACAATAGTACAACCGACTCTGGAATTTTGAACTATTTTTCACAGCCAATTGAGAAAGAAAAACATAACGGCTCTGGAAAATGTCCAACAATCTTTTACCAAGCTGGTAAATGGTCACTGCTCAAACCTGACTTATTATGACCAATGTCGAAAACTCTAGCTGGATCCTCTTTGGCTGAGACACTTAAAGAACAACCTCGTTCTCTTCTACAACATTATAAACCAACGAATTTAGACAGACAGCGGCGCATTTGAACTACGGAAGACTGCAGTCTACCCCACACGTAATGGCTGCTACTTGATACGCACAAACTTTCAAGTCATAATACTCTATCGAATTCCTTCTTAGTGAGACACACTGATCTGTGAAACAAACTACCCCTACAGATACGCAGGAGTGCAAGCTATGCCACATTTCGAAATTCCCTTCAGACGTTCCTCACTATATCAAATGTGTTGAAGATATTTGACTCACAGCAAACACTGGCAACATTGACAGAAGCTGGTATAAAAAACATATGAGCAGATATTCGCTTACAACCAGCTTACCCACTACATGTCATTACCTACAATAGCAAATCCTGTGTTTGTGCAGCCTAGTAGCACTTATTTTTTTATTATTTACTCTTGAGGATACAAACATCCGTAAACTTTACATATGAGGTGTACAGGTCTAGGACCAGGGGAAGAAAGGAAAATATCATGATCCGAAATTATATTAATAAACTTTTCTTTATTATTATGGAACTTATTCGTTATACAAATGATCGGTCCCACCTATGGAGCCGTGTACCATCTGTCGGTAAACATACAAATTTATTTTTTTATTTATTTAAGGTCGCTTACTGCGTCCGCGTGCCAGTCACATAATTATGTGCTCCAGGTTTACTTGGACTATTCCCTTCAAATTTTGTGAAGCATCATGGGTAATGTGCTCAAGCAATTCGGATATATGCAATTCTATCTGTCTAGGTCTATCTGTTTGAAGTAAGTCCAAACATACGCTGGTGCACCTCAATCAACACCTTTGGCAATTCATTAGCCAAAACCCACGCATACAACTTTGATATTATGAGATCACTCAGTGAATTTGTGGTAGCCTACGACAGAGCTTATGTAAGGCTACCAAAGGGCGAATAGTTTAGTACTGTGCACCTCTGTACATCGTGCTACAACCTGTTTTGCTGTCTGGCAGATGATAATGCATTTTTCGTGCTTCTTTCTTGGCTTTACTCAAAAGAACGTACATTGCGGCGGAACTGCGGCTGCTCACACCGAAAAGGCCTATGCTCATGTGTTCGATTAAGACCCTGGCGACTAGGCAATGTACTTCCCACTGTCATAGCTGCGGAGCTAGCTACCTTGGGCATACTAACCGAAGTTTAGGTGTCAGAGTAAATGAACACATCCCCAAGCGGTTACGCAGCCGAATGGCGTATGTAATGAGAGAATCGGTTGAATCGGGAAACCGAGCTGCCTCGGCAGTCACAGAGCACTTGCTTACCACCGGCCAAAGATTCAATCCTGATGAGTCTTTCACAGTCCTACTGCGCCAGCGGCGATCTCATATGCTTAGGCTTTTAGAAGCCCTCGTTATCGATCGCGAGCAACCGCCACTATTTATTCAAAAACAGCTGACTGTGATTTGAACCTTAGCTGGTAGCGCAAATCCGGAGCTATATATGATCTCTGTGACATTGTTGGTTGTTCATTTACATGTCATTGCTGCATGCTTTTTGTGGTTCATAAGAATGCACGAAATGGCGACGTCATCTCACAATCTATGTCTTTTGATCTCCCTGTTTTGAACTCCTGTATCATTTTGTCCATCCATGCGCCTTGCAACACAGCACTACTAAACTCACTGGCACAGTGGCTTTTCCCGCTGACTGGGGTAAACAATTGAAGCAGGTGTAGCGAAATTTCTAAACCATCGTAGATGACTGGATCCCATAACACATCTCGTAACCTTTTTAACCACTTAATAACCCCATTTTACTAATGGTATATGTATTATTTGTGTGCTTGTACACACAGACTGACGTTGGTTGTTTCCAAATCGTGCATTTATTTCAGCACATCTGATCTACTTCTGTACACACCAAGACCTTTGCACTTTACACCGGTCAACATGGTGTAACCAGCATGATATAAAAGTGCATGTGAACCATTGATCAAATGGCCGGAGAAACTTTGGCAGGACTTCTAGCGATAAACAAGCTCAAGGCCAATCGTAGCTCGGACATGGGGACGACAGACTCCATCACAATAATCATGTCCCCGCTCTGTTCCAATTCCTATGACAGAAAGCATCGTATCGAATAATAATTGTGTTTTTTGTCATCTATATTCAGATAATCTGTTAGTATACAAACACTTAGGGCTAGGTTTGACCCGTTGCTGTTATGTCAGCAGAGTAAAAGAAACTGGTCGCGGTTTTGGAAATGAAAACTGCTTAACTGCCGTCACAGCTTTGTGTATTATGTGGCCCCAATGTTAGGACTTTTGAAAGGTAACCACGATCTAGCACCAATGCTACACAGTTCGGCGAAAAACGAATATCCTTGGTGACAAACAGAAGGGAAGATAGGAAGGTTCAACGGTTTCCCAACTCTCATGGAATATCGACGGGTTAAAAGAGTGGTGCATAAATTGCGCTAACAACTCCAGTGTCCGTTACGGACTGAACAACAACAGTTAAACCATACAAACAGTGCGAAGGACGGCGGTGCACATAGACAGACAAGAAGGTGAAGAACGAACGTGCGTGCTAATCACATTTGTGCACTGATTGCTTTGTCGCTGTTTATTAGCTGCATTTTGTCGCAAACTCCTGCATCTAGACTTGTTCGTTTTGCTTTTACAAGCGCTATCATGTGCTATCATTTTCTCACTATTCCAGCTGTCTGGCTCAGCGACTACATGCTCCATGATACTTGTACTCTTTCGCCTCGCAGCAAGTGTCGTCCATTTATCCAGCGCCACTTTTACCCATCACCTGTCGCGAGCACGTTGTCCCAGGAACCGACAAGATTTGCCCAAAGGTTCTCAAAACCCTTACCCTCAACATATCAGTTCATCTTGCAAGCTTCCTTCCGTGCCTCCTTGGTTCCCATACACGCCAACCTGAGTGAAAAGTTGAAAACAATACAACGATATACAAATTAGGCAAGAGTCCGGCCCTGCCAACTACCGACGGATTACGTTTCCTCCTGTTTTATCAAAAGTGATAAAGTCGATAGTCGCAGTAAAACTAGTGCGATATTTTGAAAGTTTGGAAATCATTTCCAGTTACAACGTGGTTTCAAAAGCAAATAATATTGTCTCACAGGTTTGCTTCTTGTTCGGGACTCACGGACCATGGCGATTGGCGAACCAGTTCCTCTAGATGTGATTTACTTAGACGTTTCTAAGGCCTTCGATAGAGTCAATCCCTTATGTCTCCTCTGAAAGCGTAACGTCTACTCTATCAACGTTCCCTGCTTATCTGGTTAAAAGGTTACTTACAGGATATAACAATCAAAGTAAAAATTACCGACACTCCACAGAAAGCTTTCGAGTTTCCATTGGTGTGCCCCAAAGACCCGTCGCGGGGCCGCTACCCTTTGTAGTCTATCTCAATTAACTCGCAGCAAATATTCAACATCTGATCAAATATTTTCAAGTAATATTTGAGATCTATTTGCTAAGCATCCGACTGTATCCATTTCTAGAATGACCAAGGCCAGAGTAATAAATGGGTAGCACT